CTGAAGGCCTACATGCCAGCGCGCGCATGCGTCCACCGCACCCATTTTGGCACACCCATCACACGTTTGGTGGCCCCATAGGGAGTTCCACCGAAGGCCCAGGTGCCAGCGCTCGCATGCGCCCACCGCGCCCATTCTGGCACACCCAAGACACGCTTTGTGGCCCTTTAGGGAGCTCTACCGAAGGCCCAGATGCCAGCGCTCGCATGCGCCCACCGCGCCAATTTTGGGGCACCCTTAAATCGTCTCATGGCGCCATAGGGAACCCCGCCGAAAGCCCACATGCCAGCGCTCGCATGCGCCCACCGTGCCCATTTTGGAATACCCCTCACACATTTTGTGGACCCGTAGGGACTTTCATCGAGCGCCCATATTCCAGCGCTCGCATGTGCCCACCGCGCCCATGTTGGGACACCCCTCGCAAGTTTCGTCACCCCATAGGGACTCCACCGGAGGCCCAAATGCCAGCGCTCGCATGCGCCCACCGTGCCTATTTTGGCACACCCATCACACGCTTCGTGGCCCCACAGGGAGCGCCACCGAATGCGGTGCATACAACGACAGTTCCCACAACTGCACATGGTTGGGTTTTTCGCCAGGCTATTTTTTCTCTATGTGGGCAAACCCGAGCCGCGGCGCTGGCGTGAACGTGGATTTTTACGAAAAAAATCAGCATGTCCGGGGGAGGAGCGCAGAGCAGGACAGTCGCGAATTCAATTTTGCATCGCATCGCCTGCTATGCCACGCTTGCTATGCCCTGGACGACCAGCACGGATAGCGGCCGCCTTCAGAGACCACCCCCTGCGCACCCCCCTATGGTATCGAGAACGTGCCACGCCTGCCACGCCTGCCACGCCTTGGATGGTGTCGAGACAGTGCCACACCTGCCACGCCTTACGACCCTGAAACGGATAGATACCACGGTGAGGGGCCACCCCCTGCGCACCCTTTATGGTGTCGAGGAAGAGCCACGCTTGCCACGCCTTGCGACCCTGAGGTGGGTAGAGATCACAGTGAGTGACCACCCCCTGCGCGCCATTTGTGGTGTCGAGAAAGTGCCACGCCTGCCACGCTTTGCGACCCTGAGACGAATAGAAGCCACGGTGAGGGACCACCCTTTGCGCACCCACGGTGGTGTCGAGAAATTGCCACGCTTGCCATGCCGTGCGACCCTCAGAGGGATAGAGACCACGGTGAGGGACCTCCCCCTGCGCACCCTCTATGGTGCCGAGAAAATACCACGCCTGCCACGTCTTGCGACCCTGAGACGGATAGTGACCCCGGTGAGTAACCACCCCTACGCACCCTCCATGGTCTCAAGAAAGTGCCACGCCTGCCACGCCTTGCGACCCTGAGACGGATAGAGACCACGGTGAGTGACCACCCCCTGCGCACCATCTGTGGTGTCGTGAACGTGCCACGCCTGCCACGCCTTGCGAATCTTGCGCGCATGTGCGTGATGCGTGTGCGGTTGTGAAGAGGGAAGAGGAGGGCGAGGATGTGGATGCGGATGAGGAGGATGAGGAGGATGTTGAGGAGGAGGACGAGGACGAGGACGAGGAGGAGGAGGAACACGAATAATAATAAATATTAAACATACTGCTCTTACGAGCAATAATAATAGTAATCAAACTATCAGTAATACGAACAATAAGAACAGTAATAGTAAGGTGAGTAGTAAGAACACGCATAACACAACTAAGAAAGACAACATTATGTTTAATAAGAGTATTAAGAATACTTATACACATCTCAAGAATAAGAATACTACGAAGAATGCGAATATCGAAACTAATCAGATTCGGAATGGTGATTTGAATAATGGTATAAGAGTAGTAATAATATTTTCATTTAGAAGCAGAAAAAGACGACTAGTATTAATAGTAATAATACTAATAACCATAAGCAGCATAAGAGTAATACGAATAATAAGGAGACGAAGGGGAGGAGGGGGAGGAGGAGGACGAAAAGGAGGAGGAGGAGGAGAAGGAGGAACAGGAGGAGGAGGAGGAGGAGGAGGAGGAGGGGGAGGGGGAGGGGGAGGAGGAGGAGGAGGAGGAGGAGGAGGAGGTGGAGGAGGAGGAGGAGAGGACAATCATAAGAATACCAATGATAATTATAATATTCGAATAATAATGGTAATAATATCAATCAGAATGATAATACTGATAAGAAGACGAATAATGATAACAACAATAATACTAACAACATTAATAGTTCTCATGGTAATATGAAGAACAAGAGGAATTACATTAAGAAGAATAATAACAATAATCCCATCAACACTGACAACACTAATCATAACAAGAATAATAATAAACATAATATTTATAATAATACGAAAAAGAATAATCATACGAAGAAGAATAAGAAGAGGAAGGAGGAGGAGGAGGAGGAGGTGGAAAAGAAGGAGGAGGAGACACGCGGGTGCGACGCGGCAGGGAAGAAAAGCAGAACCCCACGAAACGTGTGGGGAGAAAATGATGCATCATCGAATTGGCACGCGAGTGCCGTCACGAGCTGGTCGGGTCGGGCGGGCGCGTCGGGTCCTGCGGGCCCAGAAAGAAATTGGCGGGCAGGGGCGGTCGGGCGGGACGATGGACAAGTGCTGCAGGATCGAGTCGGCGCGCGCGCGCCCTGCCTGGCCGGTCGGGTCGGGCGGGAGGGCCCTGAGAGCCGGCGCTCCAAACAAAAATTGGAGCTGGCGCCTTTTCGCCGGTTTCGCCCTCTCGGGGCCCTCGCCGGGCCTCGGGAGCGTCAACAAAAAGAGAGCCTGTTTTTTTGGATTCAGGCAAGTTTACTTGCATGGCGTTCGCCCCCCAGCCCCCCCCTCGCTCCTCTTCAAGCGAATACTAGCGTGCAGGTGCCTTTCGACTTGCGTGATTTCCGCGCCCCCCCGAACGTGCAAGTCGTTTGCTGCTTGCTTCAGGCTCAGCCCCCCCCCCCCGTCCATGCAAGTAAACTTGCCAGAGTCTAGAAAAAAACAGGCTCAGACTCAGGACGAAAAACCGGCCCCGGGGAAGTGGTCCGGACCTCCTGGATCGACGCACCGAACAAAATTGGAGCAGCCGGATGTTTGGGGGTCGGGCGGGTCAGGTCGGGCGGGCGGGACATTCAAAAATGATGCACCAGCGGACTGGCATGCGTATGCACTAACGGGCGGCTCAGGTCGGGCGGACGGATCGGGTCGGGCGGGCACAAACGGCCGGGTCGGGTCGGGCGGGCGGGACATTTCAGTTTGATGCACCATCAGGTCGGCACGCGTGCACCCTGGCGGGTCGGGTCGGGCGGGCGGGCGGATCGGGCGGACCTGAACGGTCGGGTCGGGTCGGGCGGGTTGGACGTTCAAAATGATGCAGCATCGAGTTGGCACGCGCGTGCCCCGACGGCTCGGGTCGGGTCGGGTGGGCCAGGCCGGGCCGGCTGGGCGGACCTCAGCGGGCGGGTCGGGACGGGCGGGCGGGACATTACATTATGATGCATCGTCGAGGGGCCACGCGCGCGCCCTAAGGGGCGGGTCGGGTCGGGCGGGCGGGCCGGGTCGGGCGGGCGGATCTAGCGGGCGGGTTGGGTCGGGCTGGCAGGACATTGAAGTGCGATGCATCGTCGATTTGGCACGCGTGCACCCCAACGGGCGGGTCGGGTTGGGCGGGGCGGGTCGGGTCGGGCGGGCCCTAACGAGCGAGTCGGGCGGGCGGGACTTGAAACAATGATGCATCATCGAATTGGCACGCTTGTGCCCCAACGGGTGGGTCGGGTCGGGCGGGCGGGACATTGCAAAATTATGCATCACCGGGTTGGCACGCGCGTGCCTGAAGGGGCGGGTCGGGTCGGGTGGGCAAGCTGGGTCGGGCGGGCCCTAACGGGCGGGTCGGGTCGGGCGGGCGGGACATTAAAAAATGATGCAGCATCGAGCTGGCATGCGGGTGCCCTAACGGGCGGGTCGTGTCCGGCGGGCGGGTCGGGTCGGGCGGACGGGACATTGGAAAATGATGCATCATCGAGTTGGCACGCGATTCTAACGGGCGGGTCGGGTCGGGCGGACGGGCCGGGTCGGGCGGGCCTCAGCGGGTGGGTCGGGTCGGGCGGGCCGGACAGTGAGTTATGATGAGTCATCGACCTGGCATGCGTGGGCCCCAACGGGCGGGTCGGGTCGGGCGGGCGGGTCGGGTCGGGCGGACCCTTACGGGCGGATCGGGTTGGGCCGGCCGGACATTAAAAAATGATGCAGCATCGAGTTGGGACGCGCGTGCCCTAGCGGGCGGCTTGGGTCGGGTCGGGTGGGCGGGCCGCGTCGGGCGGGCCTTAACGGAGGGGTCGGGTCGGGTGGGCGGGGTCGAGCGGGCCCAAGGATTCTTTGTTACTTTGGATTCTGCGGACCTGGGCTGGCGGGGCCCAGTGGAAGTCCGAAGGCACGAAAACCATTGATTTTTGGCTTTAAGGTTGTTTTGCCTTTGTTCGGACTCAGACGATATATGTTTGCTTTTGATTGTATTGGTTTCTTGTCGTTTGTGCTTTTATTATTCATCGTATTGTTTTTATTGTACGGCAATGTGCGTGTGCAGAAACGAAGGGAGATGAGGATGAGTAGAAAGACGAGAAAGAACATGAGAAGGAAGAGGAGGATAATGATCATGATGGTAATGATGATGGTGGTGATCAAGATGAACACGATGATGAGAAAAGCCTCACGCCACATAGTCTCACATGTCACCCTTACGGGGGGGGAGCTTCTGAGGGGCGGAAGACAAGGGGGGGAGGGGTGGGGCTGCTGGCAGATAGGGTTCAAAGGGAGGGGGTGGGTAGCTGCCCCCCCCCCTTTGGAAAGGGGTGGAGGGGGGGGGGTCTGAAATGCGAGAGGAGGGGGGGTAGCTTCCGACGGGCGGAAAAACAGGGGTGGGTGGGTTTTTTTCGGGCAGGGGAGGTTCAAGGGGGGGGGGTTATTAGCTGAGGGGGGACACTCCCCTTTGGGAGTGTGCGACGGGCGCGCTCTCTCGAAGGTCCAGTTGGCCGTTTGGATGAGTCAGCCCATCGTGTTGTACGCCATATCGTTGTCCGGCGCGGAGAAGGCCCGTTTCGCGGTGAACGTCGGCGCGGCCTATTCCAACGACGTTCTCAAGATCTTGATGGCTTTCAGTTCAGGCATGGTCTTCTTGGCAAGCAGCATTGAATCGACGGACGCGTTCCGCGCTCTCACCGGCACCATGAAATCGGGGGCGAGCAGGGCGCTCAGCACGGCCTCCATCACATCCGGGGACTCCTCTGGGAGTTCCCCGGCGCACTCGTCAAGCTTGGACTGCTTGCTGTTCAATGGCCAGAAGCCGGCCTCCATCACGCAGAAGTTCGTGGCTCTCGTATTGCAGGCCGCTATCATCTTGAGCCTGGCCCTCATCTTCGTAGCGATCAAGGAGCGTTCAACACGATCCCAGGCCTTCAGATCCCGGGCCCTCGCGGCCTTCCTGGTCGCCGGGAACCAGTTCTTGCCCGGGTTCGTTGGCATCTGCTTCCAAGCGGTCCCCTGCTTTCACACCCAGGCAGGAGGTAAGTCATACATGTCCTACAACACCGCCGCAGAGTGCACTACCTCCAACCGCGTTCAGGCCGTGGCGTTCGCCATCCCCGCCCTACTCGCCACCGTGGCCGCGGGGCCCGTCGCCTGGGTCTGGATCCTGCGCCTCGACGCGGCGAGGCGCCGCTGTGGCGCGGCCGCGGGTGGTAGCGAGGACAAGAGGCACAGTTGCGATGACGAGGACAAGGATGACGACCGCAAGGACAAGGATAACAATCAGAGCGTGAATTGCCTACCCCGCTTTCGCTTCCAGGCAAAACCAAGCCATACCACGCGCCTCCTCGTCAAGCGGCCTGACCAGTACAGGCTGCAATTTGGCATCGTTTGGTATCTCTTGGAAGCGAGGGTGGTCAAAAGCGAGGTAGGTTTGTTTCCCCCCAATAACAAGGATGACAATAATGAGGTGGGCAGGGACAAGGACAAGGATGACGAGCACCAGGGTGGCGAGGACAAGGAGAAGGGTGCCAGTGATGTCAGGGCCGACGTTGACAAGGGCTCGGATGACGATGACGATGGCGAGGACCAGGACAAGCCCAAGGATGAGGATAATAATGAAGTTGGCGAGCAGGACAACTCACTGAGATTCCTCACTGGGTCCTACCAGGAGCGCTACAATTATTTAACCGCTTCGCTCAATCCGCTGGCCTATATTGTGCCATCGTTGGCGTTTGCGTGCGCGTTCGTGGGCCATGCGGCGCTGCTGGTCGGCGCTGCTGCGCTTGTGCGTGTCAGCCCTCATGGATGTTTCTTGGTGTCTCTTCGGAAGGTTCTCGGAGGGCTCCGGTGTAGCAGTTCCAGGGGCTCCTGGGAGCCTGGGGGCGCCTTGGATTCCTCTTGGGGCTCTCTTGGCGCCTTCTGGGGTCCTCTTGAACCCTCTTGGGGGGCTCTTGGGGGCCGCTTGGGTGCTATTTGGGGCCGAAGGCGTATTGAGAGCTCTTCGGAGGCCTGGGGGGTGGGCTCTGGGGGCGATGTTGAGACCGAACGCTCGAAATGTTCGTTGGGGCTACCCCTCGAAGGGTCTTCTTGAAGGTATCTTGGGGCCCTCCAGCGCTGTTTGGGGAGAATATTGGACCGTCGTCGAGTCCCCGTGGGCCGCCGTCTTCGCGCGAGCTTTGGGGCTTCTCGGGCCGTCTTAGAGAGTCGGCCGCCGAAATTACGCTACCGAGGAACCCCACATACCTATTTTATTTACCATGTGTACCATCGGTGCTTCTGCTGCTGCTTCTCCTTCTCCTTCTCGGTGTCCTCCTCCTGTTGCTGCTTCTGCTGTTGCTGCTTCTGCTGCTGCTGCGTCTGCTGCTGCAGCTGCTGCTGCTGCTGCTGCTGCCGCTGCTGCTGCCCCACCTCCCCGTCCTCCTCCTCCTCCTCCTCCTCCTCTTCCTCCTCCTCTACCTCCTCCTCCTCCGTAGCCATTTTGGCTCAAGATGCAGGTTTCCCCTGGGAACTAAGCGGATACCGCTAGTCCGCGGCTGGCAAGACTTCCTGAAGTCTGGCATCTCTTCTGGTCCACCTCTCCTGCGCTCGGGTCGGGGGGTAAACGGAGGCCTTTCCCGTTCCCGTCGGCCCGATCGCCACCAGCCGCGAAGCCATGGGCCCCGCGAGGGATGGCACGCATATGGGCGATGGCTGTGTTGGCGGCGGCGGCGGCGGCAGGCAGGCCAGCAGCTCCTCGCCTGACACGGTGGGCAGCAGGAGTACCTCCCGCAGCGAGCATTGCCGCCGTGGCGAGCGTCGTCGGGAGCGACGCCAGCAGGCCGCAGCCAGTGAGGAGGCCACGCCTCGACCTCGACGCCAGCACGACGCCCGCCTATCTGGCTGGGATGTGGTGCCTCCTGCCCCGCCACACGACGCCCATGGAGGAGCCGCTGCTGGACCCCCGCGCGGCATGATGCTTTCCGAGGGCGACGTCGCGGCACTCGAGCTCATGCCGACCTTCGCATCGCAGTCGACCCCGCCGCACGGCGAGCTGGACGCCTGGGCGGCAGCGGCCGCACAGCGCTTCGACCCGCCGCCAGCGGCTGGAGGAGCTCCTGCCGCCGCCTCTGGCACGGCGACCCTCTCCAGCATGCTGGCCAACATGGAGCGCCGCCTCGGCTCGCAGATCCAGTCTACTACAACCAACCTCTCGCAGATCTTCCAGGCGACCCAGCAGGAGTTTGCCCAGGCCGTCGACGCCCGCTTCGCCGCGGTGGACTCGCGCCTGGGCAGCATGGAGCAACGGATGGCAGACTTCGGCCGCCTCCGCCAGGAGATGGTCGACCTCCGTGCTGAGATGGGCGCCGTGGCGTCGGCCACCCCGCAGGCCCCGATGCTGGAGACGGGCTGGTCGAGGCCCATCGACCCCACCATCCTGTCCATCGTGGCGCGCGCGAACGTCCCGAAGGAGGCGGTCGCGCAGGCGCTGCAACAGCTCCTGGTGGACGCCGACCTGCACAACCTCACCCCTGAGGCGACAAAGCTGGAGGGCGAGGAGATGGGGAGGCACTTCAAGCTCCGCTGCATGGGAGCCGTGGGCCTGGCCTCGCGGCGCGTGGGGAAGCTCGTGGGCCTTCTGCGCACAGGCCCCTCCGCGTGGCGGGAGTTCGCCGCCGTGCTGCCGAACGGATCGAGCGTCCCCCTCAGCGTGGGCCGCGACCGCAACCAGTCCCAGATCTCCCACGAGATCTACCTCAAGCGCATCAAGGCCGCCCTTCAGGAGAAGATCGAAGCACGTCGCTTCGCCGACAAAGAGGCCAACGCCATCACGGTCAAGTGGCGCCAGCTGCTCAAGCTCTCCATCCCGTCCCCAGGGGCCACTCCGACCGTCTCGTGGGACATGGTGGCTGTGCGTGCGATCGACCAGACACAGGAGGCCCTGCAGGCGGTGGTGGATCGCGTCTTGGAGCCAGAGGCGCAGCAGTGGACGCTTTGACACTCTCTCGCGTGCCTGGGGAGGCGACGGGGATGGTGTGCATCTGGGGACCTGGAACTGCCGTGCTCTCAAGCAGTCTGGGAAGAATGCCACCAAGAAGATCAAGAGAAAAACTAGCTTATATTCAGCGATATTGGAAGGGGCCAATGATGCTGGCGCTGCAGGAGACTCATGCTTCCGAGTACAGCATGCAGGTGCTTCTGGAGCGATTGGGCAAACCGTTCTGCTGCTTCTCCTCGTGCATGCCAGGAGGACGAGAAGACGCAGGAGGGGTGGCCACGGTGGTGCCCGCCGCTGCCGACGGCTACATCTGCAATTTTGTTCCTGAGGAGATGGTCCCTGGTCGCATCCTCAGGCTCAGTGGTGAAGTTCGTCCTTCGACTCAGGGGAGTCAACCGTGCAACTTCATCCACTGGAACATCCACAACCATGACATTTCACCTGATCAACGGCGGCGTGTTGCAGAACGCCTTCGGCAAGACCTGGCTTGGGCGCATCACTGCCCTGCCACGCGCTCCACCTTCGTCGTGGGCGACTTCAACTTCGGCGACTACGACGAGACCGACGACTTCCTGGATGACGACCAGCCCCTGCAGGCCCAGGCCACGCGCCCCAGCCGCGGTGGAGGCGGGGCCCCCGCCGGGCCGCGGGCCGGCCGCCGGCCGCGCCAGGGGCCGCCGGGGGAATGCCCGGGGGCGCACGGCCCCCCCCCCAGCGGAAGCGGGGGGGGGAGGTATTTATTTTTAAATAAATACCTCCCCCGCCGGGCGCCCGCGGGGGCGGCCCCGGACCGCGCGCCGCCGCGCCCCTGGGGAACTCCAGCGGCAGCCGCATCTGGCCAGACCGCACGCCTGGCCCGTCACCCTGGCCAGAGGCAATGGCTGGATGCGCTGCGGGCTGCCACTGAGATGATGCCTGGCAACCCGACGCACTGGGGCGCCAGCACGCGCACCAGCTCCTCCATCGACCGCGTGTTCGTGGGGATCCCGCGGTGGCAGCTCTGCCAGGGCTGGCAGGCGTGCCAAGTGCAAGGCGAGGCGCGCGAGATGCACATCCGCGGGATTCGCGATCATTCCATGGTCGCTGTCGCGCTGCTACGGCGCACGCCTGCGCGCCGACGCCCTGACACGCCAGCGGCCATCCCCCTCGCCGTGGTCCAGCGTCCGCGCTTCAAGGAGATTGTTGACGGGTACCTGGCGATGGTCCCCATGCAGCACCATGAGCCGCCCGACGAATACAAGTATCTCACGAGGATCCTGCAGGCGGCGGCCAAGGATGTCCAGAACGAGATCCTCGTTGCCGAGGGCTGGACCAAGGGCGCCTCCGCCATCATCTGGCGCCAGCTGGCGAGGGCCTTCTGGCGCCAAGACTGGAGGCTGGCGCAGCTGGTCGTGGCCCAGAACGCCTGGGCGCGTGAGCTGTTCAGGGCCTCGGAGCAGTCTCGATCGGTCGAAATCCTCGACTACGCGGAGTTCCAGAGGAGATACAACATCGCCCAGCGGAAGGACGCGGCGGGCAGACGCCGCGCCCTTGAGGAGGCGGCCCAGCATGAACCTGAAGATAACCGTCGACGTCAGCTCGTGGCCCAGCAGCGGGCTCTGAAGCGACGGGCGCGGCTCTGGGCTCCCTTCAACGCTCGGCGCTACCTCGCGTGCCTCGAGACAGATGGCGCCGAGCTGACAGAGGCCTCCGACATCAACGCAGTGCTGGGCCAGCACTGGGGCAAGGTTCTGCCCGCCGACGCCAGCCGCGCTCACCGAGCAGAGGGCCCGAGAGCAGCCGGCCTACCTGAAGCGCTTCGGGGTTCCCGCGGTCGACTGGGACGCCCACCGCCCGCCCGCAGTGGCAACGGTGCGAGAGGCGCTCCGCCGTGCGCGCCCAGCGGCCCCTGGCCCTGACGGCCTCCCCGCCGGCCTGGGCTGTGGCCTCGGGCGGAGCAGAGGCTCTCCACCGCTCCCTGGTGTGGATGCTGGATGGCTTGCCCATGCGCTCGGACTACAACCGCGCGATCAGCATCTTTCTGCCGAAGGGCTCGCTGGTGACCGACATGGTGAGCGTCTCGCGAGCCCCAGGCTGCGCGCGCCCGCTGTCGTTGCGCAACACGGGGGCCAAGGCGATCAGCGCGGCCCTGAACCACCCTCTGAAGCGGGCCGTGCAAGCGGCAGTGGCGCCCAGCCAGCGTGGCTTCATCTGTGAGCGTCACTTTCTCGAGAACCTAATTGAGCTCGACGGTCACGCGAGAATTGCAAGCATGCGTGCTCTGAATATCGCCCCCCCTCTGACCTCGCCTCGCCTTTGCTTCTTGCCTATGACTATGCTCATGCCTTCCCATCTGTGGCCCACTCGTGGCTCTGGGCCGTCCTGACCCATTGGGGAGCCCCAGAGGCCCTGGTGAATGCAATCCGAGACAACTATCTTATGGCTGCTGCCGTTAGCTCCGACTGCTCTCGGGGCCTCCTCTTCCTCATCCTCGCGGGGGTCCTCCAGGGCGATCCTCATTCTGGCAGTCTGTTCGTCCTAGCTGCTCATCCGTTCTGCGCGGATATGGAGCGCACCCTAGAGGCCGCCGGCAAAGGAGTCGGGAGGTGGTGCGCGGACGACGTGGGGGCGGTTGTGTGGGGAAAGCCAGGCCTAAGGGAGCTCGCTAGGATTTTCAAGAACTCAGATAAGTTGGCGGGGCTCGCTTTAAAACCCCCGAAATGCTGTGCCTCCCCTCTTTGGGCCCCGTGGTCGGATGATCTCATTGCCCCGACGTCCGAACGGCTGGCCTCCGCGTGCACAGCCTGGGCTGAGTTCAAAGTCGGTCCGACGCTTGAGTACCTCGGCTGTATTGTAGGCCCCGCTGCTGAGAGAGAAGAGCAGTGGGCAGCACCTGCGGCGAAGCTCGAGCACCGCGTCGCAGCCCTGGCGCGGTCCCATGCTGACGCTGCGGCCGTCGTCTCGCTCTACCACGAGCGGGCGCTCAGCGTGCTCTCATACAAGTCGCAGTTATATGAGATCCCTCGGTCCCTCCAGCGGCGTGAGAAAGATCTGTTGACCCGCGTGTTTCGGGCCCCTGGATCCTGGCTCTCTGCCTCCTGCTTCCTCGACCTCGACTCCCTCGGTGGTCCGCGGGTCCAGGGTATCTGAAGCAACGCTCTCGCCGCCAGGATGAGGACTGCCCTGTCGTTTAAAGAGTGTTGGTCCAGGATGCGCGGCCTCCTAGAAGTCGCTGCGTGGGAGCGCGCCCAGGCTGGCCAGCTGCACTGGCGCGGCCCCCGTGGAGCCCTGGAGCTCTGCCACTGGCCGTCCTTCTGGCGGGAGCCGGCGGTGGCGTGGTCTTTGCGGGGGGCGGCGGAAGCTAGGCCGTCCTTGGGGCGGGGCCGTCGGGCGGCCCAAGAGGGGCTGGCGGCCCTCGAGGCCGAGCGTCGTGCTGCGCGGGAACGCTCCGCACCGCAGAGGGCGGAACGATCTGGCGCTGCTGGCAAAGGCGTCCCAAGGCTCAAAGTGCAGCGAGCTCTCTTGAGAGGTATCCGTCCTGCGATTTACCTGTCTCCCCCTCGTGCCCCCTCTTCCCCTCCTCGGTCCCTCATCGCCTGCCTGCGTCTCCGTCTCGTTAAGTGGTTTTCGATCCCTCTCGAGACCTCTGCGGCCTTCGACTGGGCCGCCATTAATTCGACGCTCGCCTCGGCCCCCCCCCCTCTTGGCGGATGGCCGCCATCCGTGCCTGGACAGGGGGGTGGGTCACAGACACCAGACTAAGGGATGCCGACCGAGGCTGCCTGCTCGGGTGCGAATGCGCCCGAGATAGCTTTTCTCACTACATCGACTGCCGTCGATTTCTCTGGAATGTTGCTATGGTCTCCCGTCTCAGCCTTCCTGCTTCTCTCTCTGACCGTCTTGCGCTATCGGAATGCTCGCTGGGCCGTCTGCGTCAGATTGTCATTCTTTATCACTTCCACCGCCTGCTGCACGCACAAAGGCGAGCACCTGGCTCGACCGTGCCCGACCCGCCCACCTCACTCCGCATCGCCCGCGCAGCTCGCCTCGCCACCGACTTGCCGATGGGCGAGTGGAGGCGCTCGAGCGGGCAGCGGCTGAGGGGCCAAGGGTAGCTTGACCAAGGGACCTCCGTGGACGCTCCGCCTCTACCTCCTCCTCCTACCTCCCAGCGCGCCCCCTGTGGCGTCGAGGAAATGCCACGCCTGCCACGCCCTGGGGGCCTGCAGCGCATAGGGCCCCCACTCCCAGCGCGCCCCTTGTGGCGTCGAGGAAATGCAACGCCTGCCACGCCCTGGGAGCCTGCAACGCATAGGGCCCCCCACCCCCAGCGCACCCCGTGTGGCGTCGAGGAAATGCCACGCCTGCCACGCCCTGCGAGCCTGCAACGCATGGGCCCCCACCCCCAGCGCATGCCACGCTTGCCACGCCCTGGGAGCCTGCAGCGCATAGGGCCCCACCCCCAGCGCACCCCTCGTGGCGTCGAGGAAATGCCACGCCTGCCACGCCCTGGGAGCCTGCAACGCATACGGCCCCCAACCTCCAGCGCAGCCCCTGCGGCGTCGAGGAAATGCCGCGCCTGCCACGCCCTGGGAGCCTGCAGCGCATAGGGCCCACACTCTCAGCGCACCCCCTGTGGCGTCGAGGAAATGCCACGCCTGCCACGCCCTGGGAGCCTGCAGCGCATAGGGCCCCCACCCCCAGCGCACCCCCTGTGGCGCGAGGAAATGCCACGCCTGCCACGCCCTGGGGGCCTGCAGCGCATAGGGCCCCCACCCCAAGCGCACCCCCTGTGGCGTCGAAGGAATGCCCTGTGTGCTATGCTGTGCTGTGCTATGCTGTGCTGCTGTGCGGTGAGCTGTGCTGTGCCGTGCCGTGCCGTGCTGTGCGGTGCTGTTCTGTGCTGTGCTGTGCTGAGTTGAGCTGAGCTGAGCTGTGCTCAGCTGTGCCGTGCTGAGCTGAGCCGAGCCGAGCTTAGCTGTGCTGAGCAGTGCTGTGAGGAGGACGGGAAGAGTGAGGTGTGAGAGAGAGAGAGAGAGAGAGACAGAGAGAGACGGAAAGGGAGGTGTGAGGGTGAGTGTCGCGGGTGCGGCGCGGCAGGGAAGAAAGCCAGCACCCCACGAAACATGTGGGGAAATATGAGAAAGCTAAGAACCTTCAAAATCAATGGAAATCGTTGTAGTTGCCTCTATGGGGCTTCTTGGGAGTGGTCTTGGAGGCATCTTCGGGCGTCATGGAGGGGGTTGACGCCGTCTGGATGCTATCTTGGGCATCTTGGAACGAGTTCCAGTGACTCTGGGCCCTTTCTGACCGCTTTTGGGGCTTGTTGAGACGCTCTTGAAGGCCCTGAAGCCAGACCCCAGGAGTTCCGGTATCCGTGACGGGGACCACCCAGGGACCGCCCAGGACTTGCATACAGTGGAGACCCGTGCCAAGAAACACCATGCCTGCCTCCAGGGTTCCCTGGGATTTTTACTTAACAGCGAAGACTGATAGGTTTCTAGTGGGGTCAAACGAGAGCATCTTGACTCCCCAAGGGGGTCCGGGCTGGATCCGGACAAAACCGCACAAAAGGGTCAGCCCCAGGAGCCCTTAGGAATTATTAGGAACCCTTAGGAATCCATTCCCAGAACACCATTCCCACGCCACATTTTGAAAGCCCAGAGCCCACTGTAGGCCACTTCGTGTTCTTCGTGTTCCCAGAACACCATTCCCAGACCACATGTTGAATGCCCGGAGCCAACTGTAGGCCACTTCGTGTTCTTCGTGTTCCCAGAACACCATTCCCAGGCCACATGTTGAATGCCCAGAGCCAACTGTAGGCCTCTTCGTGTTCTTCGTGTTCCCAGAACACCATTCCCAGGACACATGTTGATTGCCCGGAGCCAACTGTAGGCCACTTCTTGTTCTTCGTGTTCCCAGAACACCATTCCCAGGCCACATTTTGCATGCCCAGAGCCAACTGTAGGCCACTTCGTGTTCTTCGCGTTCCCAAAACATTATTCCTGCACCATATTTTGATTGCCCGGAGCCAACTGTGGGCCACTTCCTGATTTTCGTGTTCCCAGAACACCAGTCCTGTATTATATTTTGAATGCCCGAGCTGAGGCAGGCTGAGGCCGAGGCAAGCTGAGGCCGAGGCAGGCTGAGGCTGAGGCTGAGGCACGCCGAAGCAGGCTGAGGCTGAGGCTGAGGCAGGCTGAGGCTGAGGCTGACGCAGGCTGAGGCCGAGGCAGGCTGAGGCTGAGGCTGAGGCAGGCTGAGACTGAGGCTGAGGCAGGCTGGGGCTGAGGCTGAGGCTGATGCAGGCTGAGGCTGAGAGGCTGACGCTGAGGCTGAGGCAGGCTGAGGCTGAGGCCGAGGCAGGCTGAGGCTGAGGCTGAGGCAAGCCGAAGCAGGCTGAGGCTGAGGCTGAGGCTGAGGCTGAGGCTGAGGCTGAGGCTGAGGCTGTGGCTGAGGCTGAGGCAAGCTGCGGCTGAGGCAGGCTGAGGCTGAGGCTGATGCAGGCTGAGGCAGAGGCAGGCTGAGGCTGAGACTGAGGCCGAGGCAGGCTGAGGCTGAGGCTGAGGCTGATGCAAGCCGAGGCTGAGGCTGATGCTGAGGCAGGCTGATGCTGAGGCAGGCTGAGGCTGAGGCTGAGGCTGAGGCTGTGGCTGAGGCTGAGGCTGAGGCAGGCTGAGGCTGAGGCCGGGGCAGGCTCTGGAGGCTGAGGCAGGCTGAGGCTGAGGCAGGCTGAGGCTGAGGCTGAGGCAGGCTGAGGCGGAGGCTGAGGCCGATGCAGGCTGAGGCTGAGAGGCGGGCGCTGAGGCTGAGGCAGGCTGAGGATGAGGCTGAGGCCGAGGCAGGCTGAGGCTGAACCTGAGGCAAGCCGAGGCAGGCTGAGGCTGAGGCTGAAGCTGAGGCAGGCTGAGGCTGAGGCTGAGGCAGTGGCTGAGGCTGAGGCAAGCTGCGGCTGAGGCAGGCTGAGGTTGAGGCTCATGCAGGCTGAGGCCGAGGCAGGCTGAGGCTGGGGCTGAGGCAGGCTGCGGCTGAGGCTGAGGCTGATGCAGGCTGAGGCTAAGAGGCCGAGGCTGAGGCTGAGGCAGGCTGAGGCTGAGGCTGAGGCCGAGGCAGACTGAGGCTGGGGCTGAGGCAGGCTGAGGCCGAGGCAGGCTGAGGCTGAGAGGCTGACGCTGAGGCTGAGGCTGAGGCTGAGGCTGTGGCTGTGGCTGAGGCAAGCTGCGGCTGAGGCAGGCTGAGGCTGATGCAGGCTGAGGCAGAGGCAGGCTGAGGCTGAGGCCGAGGCCGAGGCAGGCTGAGGCTGAGGCCGAGTCAAGCCGAGGCAGGCTGAGGCTGAGGCTGAGGCTGATGATGAGGCAGGCTGAGGCTGAGACAGGCTGAGGCTGAGGCTGAGGCAGGCTGAGGCTGAGGCCGAGGCAGGCGAATCCTTCGGAATCCTTAGGGTTCCCTAGGAATCCTTATGAATATTTAGGACTCCATAGGAATCAGGATTCCGAAGGATTCCTAAGGATTCCGATGGATTCCGATGGATTCCTAAGGATGCCTAAGGATGCCTTAGGAATCCATCGTAACCCTTAGGATTCCATTGGGTCCGAAGGCCGTTGCCACTGCGACTGTCACTGCGAATGCGGCTGCGACTGCGAGAACAGCAGAATTCTACAACTGGGTTCTCACCTGAATCTTGAGGGGAATGCTTCCAGGCATGTTTATACACATCGCTGTTAGGTTGCTTTGCCGGGATAGTTCGGTCTCTGTGGTTTTGCTAAAAGCGTGACGTTCCCACACCAGAAACCAAGGGACGCCCTGAGGTCTCGGGGTTGGGTTTCTTGCAAAAGGTTTCTTGTTGGCCTCCACTGCAGAGCACTGCCTCCGACTGGCCGACTCGCCGATTCCCAGACTCCCCGACTTCCCGACTGGCCGACTTCCCGACTCCCCGACTCTCCGCCTCCCGAATGGCCGACTTCCCGACTTCCCGACTGACCGACTCTCCGATTCCCCGATTCCCCGACTCTCCGACTTCCCGATTTGGCCGACTCCCCGGCTTCCCGATTGACCGACTCTCCGACTCCCCGACTATCCGACTCTCCGACTCCCCGACTCCCCGACTCCCCGACTTCCCGACTGACCGACTCTCCGACACCCCGACTCCCCGACCCCCCGACTCCCCGACTTCCCGACTCTCCGACTTCCCGACTGACCGACTCTCCGACTCTCCGACTCCCCGACTCCCCGACTCTCCGACTCCCCGACTGGCCGGCTCCCCGACTCCCCGACTGACCGACTCTCCGACGCCCCGTCTCCCCGACTCTCCGACTCCCCGATTGGCCGACTCCCCGACTGACCGACTCTCCGACTCCAGGACTCCCCGACTCCCCGATTCCCCGACTCCCCGACTGACCGACTCTCCGACTCCGACTCCCCGACTCTCCGACTCCCCGACTGGCCGACTCCCCGATTCCCCGACTGACCGACTCTCCGACTGTGACTCTCCGACTCCCCGACCTTCCGACTCCCCTGACTCCCCGACTCACCGACTCACCGACTCACCGACTCTCCGACTCTCCGACTCCCCGCCTCCCTGACTCCCAGACTCCCCGACTCCCGACTCCCCGACTTCCCGACTGACCGATTCTCCGAGTCCCCGACTCCCCGGCTCCCCGACTTCCCGACTCCCCGACTTCCCGACTGACCGACTCTCCGACTCCCCGACTCCCCGACTCCCCGATTCCCCGACTTCCCGACTCCCCGACTCTCCCACTCCCCGACCCCCCGACTCCCGCCCGGCTGACCGCATCCCCGACTCCCCGACTCCCCGACTCCCGACTCCCACTTCCCGACTGACCGACTCTCCGACTCCCCGACTCCCGCTCCCCGATTCCCGACTGACCGACCCTCGACTCCCCCCCGACTCTCGATTCCCGACTCCCCGACTCCCCGACTCCCCTGACCCCCCGACTCCCCGACTCCCCGACTCCCCGACTCCGACTCCCCCGACTCCCCGACCCCACTCCCTCCCCGACTCCCCGACTCCCCGACTGACCTCCGGTTCCCCCCGACTCCCGACTCCCGACCCCCCGACCCCCCGACTCCCCGACCCCGACCCCCCGACCCCCCGACCCCCCCTCCCCGACTCCACTCCCCGACTCCCCGATTCCCCGACTCCCCGACTGACCGTCGATCCGACTCTCCGACTCCTCGATTCCCCGACTCCCCGACTCCACGACTTTCCGACTGACCGATTCCCCGACTACCCGACTTCCCGAATGACCGACTCTCCGACTCCCCGACTCCCCGACCCCCCGACTCCCCGACTCCCCGACTCCCCCCCGCCCCGATGGGCAGTCGGAAAGTTTGTTCCGGTACGTACCTCTGGGGGCAGCCGCGCGCGCACGAACCTGTCCCTCTACAGGAGGAGTATTCAACATTTGTCAGCATTTTCCTGCCATTTTGGTGCACTGGGGTCCGTCCTTCCTCCTTCCCGCCTCTTTCCTGCCTCCACCCGCCGAGGCCGCGTCGTCCTCCCGCCTCCCTCTCCGCTCCTCCTGCCTCCTCTGTAGCCATTTTGGCTCAAGATGCTTTGTTCCACAGGGGAGCAAGTGGATGCCGCTAGTTCGCGGCTAGCCTTCAGTTGTTTCTTGGCCCGATCAGTTCGCCCTGATCAGAGGTCAGTGCCCCGCGCGGTCCTCCTTGTCTTGTGGCTGGCCTCGTTACCCCTGTGGGTAGGCGAGGGACCATGGCGCCTGGAGGTCGCGGAGGAGGCGGTGGCGCGCTCACGCCCGACTGGTACTGCAAGCACTGCAAGTACGAAGGGGGGGCGCGGGTGGGCATGCCATGCATCGCGTTCGGGAGCAAGCGCAGCTGCTTCTTCTGCGGCGCAGACAAGAGTAAGGTGTTCCTTGGCCAGGTCCGTGGTGAAGAGGGTCTGGCACGGCAACGTCTGCAGCGCAGCCCAGCGGCTGCAGGCGGGAACGGAGCCAACAGCGGGAACTCGACGGCTATGCAGAAGGAGTTGGCGCGACTGCGAGAGGAGGTCAAGAGTCTACGAGTGGCTGCGAAGGCGGGGCGCCCTGCAGAAGGGGCGAAGCCTGCTGGAGAAGGTGGAGAGGAGGACGAGGATGATAAGCATCTGAAGGAGCTGGAGGTTCTGGATGCCCAGTTGCGAGCGATGCGAGCGATCGAGTCGCTAGTGCAAGAGGTGCTGGACACGATCGAGAGGCTGGAAGTGCAGAAGCAGGCGAAGGTGGGCGAGCTGCGGGCCAAGAGCCGCTGCTCACCCAGCTGCTCGGCCTTCAGCGTAAGCACAAAGGGCAGCAGGAGGCCATCGAGAAGCAGGATGCCGCGGTGGCCAAGGCAGAGGAGGCGATCGAGGCGGCGAAGCTGGCTCTCGAGAAGGAGAGGGCAAAGGCGAAGTCGCTGCGCGGAGAGGCGGTGGAGCTGGAGCAGAAGATGTGCGAGCTCACGGCCCAGATGCCCACGCCGCCTGACGAGAAGGACACCCCCGTGACGGAGGGGCCGAGGATCAACCTGGAGGGCCTGGGCGCGCTGCTGCAGGAGCTGGGGGCCTCGGGCGACGTGGCGGAGCGGCTCCTACAGCGCCCGAAGCTGGAGGAGAAGGTGTTCAAGCGTGCTGGCATGGTGCGGCCTGCTCATGAAGGGGCTCCTGGTGGCGCGAGCGGCAGCAGTGAGTCCGACCCCAAGCGGATCGAGGTCGAGGCGGACAACGTGCCGATCGACCAACTCAGGACCAGTTTCGAGGCAGCAGGCCTGGACGCCCCCAGCGAGGAGACCGAGCTTCGCGCGATGGCGCAGAAAATGGCGGCGGCGTCAAGGTGGGCCTACAGGGCTTACTAAGGTTTGGGAGCTGAGTGTGGTACTGATGATTGCAAACGTCATGGCAGAAGCTTCCAATAATGACGATATGAGCGGCAGTTTGGGCACTGCCAAGGGGGTGCTGATCACGGTGATTGTATCATGCGGCCGTGGGCTGACGGAGTATTTGGCGGACAGGTCCATTGGGGACGTCTTCGCAGTGCAGGAACACAGGGTGAAAAGGGGACAGGCTCAGCTCGCTGCAGAACCAGGTGCGCGACCTCGGCTACCACGGGCTGTGGGCGCCAGGACTGTCTACTGGTGACGGGCCCTTGGATCTTTCGGGTGGCGTGGCGCTGCTCACGAAGACGGTGGTCTCGGTGACGGCGCCGCCCTTTGTGCCTGCTCCAATCCTGGAAGAGGCAAGGATGCTGGCGGGACATGTGCACTGGGGAGCGAAGGGCGGCATCATCGTTGTAGTGGTGTATCTGCGGCACACGGTGGGCATGGATGACGACAATTCGGATGCGGTCCACGAGTTGCGCACCTACCTGCGGGCGCTCAATGCGCGCAAGGTGGACTGGGTCGCAATGGGGGACTGGAGCATGGAGGTCGACGAGCTGCACGGGCCCTGGCTGGAGGAGGCGCGGGGCATCCCAATTGTGCCGCCAGGGCCGGCATGCTGGCAAGCGGAGGCAGGCTCGTGTTTGGACTATGTCATTGCGGCGCCCAACTTGGACACAAAGCTGGGCGAGGCGAGGGTCACTACCGAGGCGGCGTTGTGCCCGCATTACCCCGTGCACGTCGATCTGGCCAAGGTGGAGCGGGTCGACCACATTAGGGCGGTGGTCGAGCCGAGGGGCTTTGGGGCCGTCCCACCGATAGGGGCAGCACCGTTCCCCAGGGTCAGGATGTGGGAGGAGGTGCTGCATGCGGTCATCGACGTCGACGACGCCAGGGGCCTCGAGCATGCGTGGGATGCGGTGATGAAGGCGATCGAGGAGGACTTGTGCGACCGCTGGTTTTCTGCGCGGCAGGACGAGGCGTCAGCACCAGGGACGAGACGGAGAACCTGTGTTCAAGATGGTCCAACCCAAGTGGCAGCCGCCCCGCAAGCGACGGCTTCACGACCCCAAGGTGAATGCGTACATGGTGGCGGCTCGTTGGGCCAGACACCTGGACAGGTATCGGGACAGGCTCGCCAGGTTGCTGGCGGACACCAACAACGTGGACGTGGACAAGGTGGTGGACCTGCTCGGCGAGATACAAGGTTTCTACGACAATGTGGCCAAGACGGGCTACGTGCAGGAGCGCCTCGACGAGGAGGTGGTGCAGTGGTTCGAAGGCGACCTCGAGCGGTTGGGCCAGGGCCAGTGGGCGACCAAGGTCCAGGCTGTGATCGGGGAGGCGGAGAGGCTGAGGAAGAGCTACGGTAAGGAATGCGACAAGGAGTGGAGGGACTTGGGCTGCCAAGAGCCTCGAAGGGGGCGCTCGGGCAGCGCGTGCCTCCACGCGCCGACCCCCAGCAGCTGAGGTGAGGGGGGCCACGACCCGCGGCAGTCCACGCCAGCTGGTAGAGCGCGAGCTTGAAGAGTGGAAGGAGGTGTGGTCGCACCACGAAGTCAAGGCGCTGGACAAGCCACCCGACTTCGACGAGTGGGCGGAGCTGCCGAGGATGAGTGTTGCACATCTACGGCAAGCAACGGGGAAGTTCAAGGAAAGGACTGCCGTCGGCGAGACGGGGATTGCGCCGCGGGCGCTCTCACACCTCAGCGACATGGGCCTGCATGTGCTGTCGGCGCTGTTCAGCCAGTGTGAGAAGAGGGGCGAGTGGCCGACCAGCAGGCTCTTCACGGTGCTGGTCCGCCTGCCCAAGGAGAGGGGTGGGTGCGGGCTCATTGCGCCGGTGAACTCTGTGATGCGGCTGTGGGCCAAGGCGAGGTCGACGATTTCGCGGAGCTGGATGGCCCAGGCGGAAGTGCCCAACATGTGGGGCGCGGGAGGAGGGGGCAGGACTTCCTCAGCGGCGGCGTTTCACCATAACTTGATGGCGGAGGTCACCAGCCTCAATGGTGGCCACCGCGTGACGATTCTACTGGGCGCGTGGAAGGCGTTCGACAGCTTGATCGCCGAACGGGTGCAGGTGAAGCCAGATGTATGGGGCACCCGCTTCGCCTCATGTGGTCGATCCTGAAGTGCCACCACGAGCCGAGGAGGCTCAAGGCTTTCGGCTCGCTGTCGACGGGCTACACGGCGCACCAGGGCATCCTGGCGGGCTGCTCAAATTCGATGGCAGCGCTGATGGTGGCCACGGCACGGGCGCTCAAGAGGCTCGCCTAGTTCGACGTCATCCCCAGGACGCTGGCGGACGACACCTCGGTCCAGCGGGTGGGCCAGGACCTGCGGGGCGTGCGGGTGCTATGGGAGGCGGTGCTCAGGTACAAGTACGAGGCGGCGGAGGTTGGGCTGGAGCTGCAGGTGGGCAAGTCGGGGTATGTTGCGTCGTCGAGGCGAGGACAGGCAGCGGTGAAGCCCTTCGCCTCGAAGGTCAAGATCAGCCCCAAGCAGCGCATGAGGAACCTCGGCCACGACCTCAACGGCGCGAGGGCGCGACGGACGGTAGCTAAGAGCAGGCTCAAGAAGCTGAGGCCAAGGATGGGAAGGGCAAGGACCTTGAGGAGGGCCGCTGGTGCCAAGGCCTTATGCCTGTGGCAGACGGGCTTGCTGCCTTCCACGGCACATGGAGCTGCGGTGGGAGGCGTGTCGGCGAGTGAGCTGAGCGCGATGCGCTCGGAGGCGGCGAGACTGGCAGGTGCCAAAGGGCGAGGAGGCAGCATCGCGCTATACTCGGCGAGCTGGCGCAACCCCTACTACGACCCGGTCTTC